GCGCGGCCTTCGGTTCCTTCAGGGTTTTTAGGCCCTTCAGTTCCCTTATAGCTCACACTAACCGTCAATGCGGCAGGGCAGGCGAGGGCCAGTCCCATACCTCTCTGTTTCCAGCCCTTAACCTGCCCCACTTCTCCGTCGGCCGTTCCTCTATCCGCCACCTGTGGACGCACCCGATTGACGCTCAACCTTGTCCCTCTCGTCTCGTTTATAGAGCACAATGAGGGACGAACGGGCGAAATATACCTTATTTCTTTATAAACCCCCCGAGTAATTATTGAGAATCCCCCTCCCTCTTATTATTTCAGGTCCTCCCAGAAATTATAATAAATTTCCATTTCAGTGTTAGATTATCGTAAAATTCCACAATATCGTGCCTTCGCCGGGAATTAATATATTTTAATTCTCCGGACAAGGTCACAAAGTATATGAGTGAAAGTTTTTTGGAAAATTCAATTATTCCTCTACGTTGAATTCGACAGTCATAATATAATGATAGAGAAAGTAGAATGAACGGGCAATGAATATAACATATATTGAGGGATTCTATTGATATTTTCATAGTCACTTTTTCTTACAGAGTCCAACATTCTGACAGAAGTGATCGTAGTTCTTGGATAATGCTCGAGATTAATTCCAACAGGTAATTCCAATTAATTTCAATCTATCCACAATTATAGTCCCTATTCTAATGGGTGAATATCATTAAAACATGATGGAGAAATTATTATCAAACTATGTTAATCTATTTATTCCATATTTACTAATACATTTCAATAATTCTATTTTCACAGTAATCCTGATTCAAGGAGTAGTGCCTGTGACACATGGATGTTACGTCAGGAAAATTCAACACAAAGGTAATGCAAATCATTTTTGTCACATTCCTTATTAATGTGAAATGGAAAATATTCCTACAATATATGATTGAATGTTTGCTAGGAAATCTAACGGCCTTTCTCAATACACCGTTCAAACCGATACGTTCATTAATGACTGATTAAGAAAATAAAATAAAAGACTACCAAGATATCAATACATTGAACTAATTGACATTTTCGTAATCATTTTTTCTCAGCGTCCATCATTTAGATCGGAGTGATAGCAGTTCCTCGTTGATGTACGAGAATAATGCCAACAGGTAATAGAAATCATTTTCAATCTACTCAAATTACACCCATTCGTTGATTGTGTGAATAACAATAAAACATAATGGAGCAAGAATTATCAAATCATTCCAATTGATCTATAACATCCTTACTAACGAGCTACAATAATTCTATTTTCACAGCGATAATGACACGTGGATGCAGCATCAGGAAAATTCAGTACAAGTGTTATGCCCCAGAAATACCATTAAATTAAGAAATAGTATTAGGTAATTTCTCATTGACCTGGATAATATGCCGACACGCGAAGTGGCACATATTATCCAAAACATGTAAAATCGAATCAAAGAATGTCAATGTTGTAATATA